GAGCCACAGGGGCACTGGCTGCCTGCCGGGACAGGTGGGCATGTATCTCCTATGTTCCTACCTTTGCAGACCACTGTAGAGCCTCCCTTACTCACCTTTGGCTTTTTTTTCCCCTGTACCCCCCTTACCTTTTATTCTCGTAATTTCCAGCTATTTACATCCTCACTGTCATCCTGTCACACTTTTGGCTTCTCTCATTCCTTGAAGTCTCAGAACAGCAGAGACTCCCTATGTCTGAAAAAAAGTGATTGCACCTGAAAGCTTGCTAAGAACCTTTTTCCAGCTACTCCGTAGGTCTGATAAAAGATACCACGTCTACCCAAAGAGCCTTGCCTGCCTTTGCAGACGTCTTGAAATTGTTTGGATTCTAGTCTTTTCTGTTTTCTGCTTGTGGCATACAAGAGCTTTGCTTTCTGAGGGCTGAAATGCTTTGGTTCAGCTGAAGTCATTGGACTCAGTATAGAGTATCTTGCATGAAATATCTGTGATAGTACACAGGAAGCCAGGCAAAATAAACTAGTGGTTTCTAATAAAATCGTTCTATAGCAAAAAAAAAAAAAAAATCAGTCTCTAATTAGCTAAACTAATCCCTGTTGACAGTGTGACGTAGTTGATTTCTGCTAATGTGATCAAAATAAAATCAGTATCTGTACTGTCAGTGAAGTCTTTCACCTCTTATGCCATAAAATATCACTAACCTATAGAATTAAAAGCATTGTTGGGGGCTGAGATATAAGGTGTTTAGGGAATAAATGGAGAAGAGATCAGGGAGCAGACTTGCAGATTTTACAAAAGGAAGTAAAAGTGAGCTAAAATTTATCAGGAAATGTAATGGTTGTTGGTTATAGCCATGTTGGTCTAAGGATATAGGCAGGCAAGGTTCTTTGGGTAAATCTGGTATCTTTTATTAGACCAGCTAAATATTTGGGGAAAAATTTCATTTTTCCAACAATTTAGTTGGTCTAATAAAAGATATCAGATTTACCCAAAGAACCTTGTCTGTTGGGAAATGTAAGTGTTTCATGTAAATGTATCAGGAACTTGTCTCTGGCAGTTGATACCTGAGAGCTGGAAATCTCATAGGATGTGAGGACCCACTGTGACCTGCTGTACATCTTTTGACTTCAGTTGGGTTGCAGTGGGATAGAATTTGATCTTTAGAGATTTGCAACAATGACTGGAATTAAACATAGTGAGAGGAGTGTGTCCCTAGGACATGTACTGAATTTTCTTTAGGAGATCAAGGAGAGAGAAAAATAAAGCTGCAATCAGAGTAGAACAAGCAGATGGAGTCTGAGAAGAAAAACAGCTTTTTAAGATTTATTTTATCCAAAGAAAATGAAACTACTTCACTGAAGTATGCTTGCGTGGGAATTCAGTACTGTCTTCTGGGTAAAACGGGATCTTTCATGTAGTTTAAAAGAAACTTCAAAGCTTTCTTTTCTGCTCCTCGAACAGAGCTTTACACCTGGAAGGAAAGGTGAAAAGATTAGAGATGTTTTGCAGCCTAAAACCTTTGTTATGAAATGTCAGTATTATACTTTCATCGGTTATTTGGCTACTGGAATAAAAACGTATACCTCTTTTAAATGAAGATTTTTTTCTGAACTGTCACTTTAAATGTTTTAAGAACAACCTTGCCAATTCATTCCTTAGTTCAGTTTGTTTTAGAGAGAAATCCATTTTTTCCCTCCCACCCTTTTTAATTTGGCTGGTTGATTACCTTAGAGCTATGCCTCTTACCCCTTTTCCACCAAAGCCAGAATACAGAACAAAGAGAGAGGTCTGCGATTTTTTTTTTAAACGTACTCTTTTTCTGCTTTACAGTAGTGAAACTGAATTCAAATGTCTGCATACAAGCAATATTTTGCAGATGGATTTTCTTTTTGGTGCCGTCAGTATTTGAACATAAGCTCTTTCAAAAAACTAATTCTGTGAACGAGATTTCATTTTCATTGCATTGTGAATATCCATTTTCTACAGTTGGTTAGAAAATTCTGGTTTTCTGTCAAAAAGAAAATTCTCTTGTTAAAGTTTTGAGTCTTTGAAAAACCTTGACACTTTCCAAAGTGCATCTGGTATGTGGAAAGAGTACACGATCTCCCCACCACACCCCCACCATTGGTGCCCCAAAAAAACCCCTCCAGAATTTTCTGTTGGCCCTTGTTTTAGCCTTTTGTAAAGATACAGTGTGCACTTCATGTTGTTAACTTAAAGCTGTTCTGTTCTGACAATGTCTCTGTCTCTTTCTGGAAGATGAAATCAGCTGTCATTTTCTAGGTTGATTGTATTTTTGGACTACTGGTCTTGGTAGCATACCCTTAAACATTTCCATGTGTCTGAGCAACAACTTGAAAGAATCTTCCTGCCAGAACCTTAATGAAAGTACTAGAATTACTTGTTGAAGATGGGCAGGCTGTTAGGTATAGCATTTCCACCATTACACACAGGCTGTATTTGTGAGATCAGTACTTCGCACACTTTCTTTTCAAACAAAAGCCCAACAGCCTATGGCTGTGGAACGGATTCGTAGTAAGAGGTGTGGGGGAGCAATGTATTAGAGTTATTTCAGCATATGATATCATCAGCAATGAAGTGCATGTGGTATGAGGTCTTTCACTGTCCAAAGACTCTGAACACCAGCAAGGAGTGAATATATTTTGTTTTTCATTGTAGGCGAGTTTATAGCCATTAGGTTTCAGAACTTTTTCTGTACGGTCTGAAGTTTAATTGTGTAATTTAATTGTGAAAAAATGTATCCGGAAAGATAATTGTGCAGAACTACATAATCTAGTGCAACTGGTTGCATCATATCTTTAACTAACAAAGTTTTAAGATGGCAGGCAATTCTAACTATACCTTGCAATATAAACAGAAAAATATTGAGACAGTCTTATCCCTGGTATAATGTCACTTAGTCTAGGGATGCATTTGGCTCACTTTATTTTCCTTCAGAGATTACAGAAGATGTAGGAAGAGGGTTGTAAAAAGAGAGAGGATGACATTTTGAAGTTCATTATTATTTTTAAATGCAAGCTCATGCTGTTCATTAAACATCTGGCTAGAAATACATATTTTACGACCAGCAGTGAAGTCTGAACAACCAAAACAAAATAAAGAACAGTTACTTCAAGGATTCACTGATGGTCATTTAAATAATTTAAATCAGACTTGGTAAAAAAAAAAAAAAAACCTTTTTAATATAGTGGATATTATACAAGGCAATTTTATCATCCCACTCTGACCCCGGTTAAAAGCTCTAGTAATTGAGTTTTCTGAAGACTGTTCAACCCTTGACTGTGTCTAAGAAGGCAAAAGAATTTATTAAGGCTTCTTAATCTCTGACAATGGCAGTGTAGACTATGTCTAGTAAAGAGTATATACTCTCCTAACTTTCAAATCCACTCCCTCCACAGATTTGCAGCTCTTATTTGTAAAGCAGTAGTAGATAAATGCGTCCACCAGAATTGTTGTGTTCTGTTCTGCTGCCACTCCTTTAGGGGAAATTTATTCAGTATTATCCATTGGTTTCTTAACGTGTACAGGCTTATCCCTCAAATAAAGTAGATTGGAAAGGAAAATGTAATGCCTAGCAGAATAACTTTGTAGAATGTATTAAGACTTACTGTGGAGTCGCTACAAAATGTTCAGTTGCCTTGTTTTTGTTCATCTGAATTCTGTGTAATGAATTACCTTAAGATGGTATAGAGTTGTATCATACTTTTTTCCCATTGATCTTGATTTGAACATGTGGTGGAATTGGGTATATTATTATAGATGTGTGTTGGCACCACAGATTGTGCAGCAAACAGTTATGGGACATGTAAGTTTACACTTATTTGAAAAAGCATCACATTCCTCCTTGAGGTGAAATTACTGGGACCTACTGTTGGTGATGCCCAGTTCAGTTAATATTGCTAAATAAAAAATAAAAATCCCTCTAACTGGGTTTGTGCCGATGTCATTTTCTCTGACTTTGCCACCAGAGGCTCTTGACCTAATTGATCAGCAGTTCCTTTTGTAACTGTCTTCTCCATTTTTCACTTAATTCTGTTTTATTTTTCTTAAAACCTACGGGTACCTTATGAGCATGTTTGGAAGATATTTATTTTGAGATATACTTTGGTTATCATTTATAAATGTTACAATTTTTTTGCACTGTTTGCATACAAGTAGGCGTTTTTCCCTAGAAATTTATCCTCTGGTCCTGTTTGTGCCATTTTATCTTTTGGATATAATTCTCTACACATGGCGTCATCTCCACGAGTGTTAATTATAACGTCACAAATAAGCTTGTGAACTTAGGTGAGGTCTTATATCCAAGTAAATCCCACGCAGACTTTGCATGTACAACATTCAGAATAGGAAGTATTAAGCAGAATTACCTGTTAATAACTTTTTTCATTAATACCCTTTTGCTTCCTGTGGCTTGTAGATTTCACTGTGTGAAATAAATGTTCATCTTGCACAGATAAAAACAGTAAAGGCCCAGGGCCTCCAGAGAAAATGATCAATGCAAAATAAATACTGGAGTAGATCTGTTTGTTTGTTTGTTTGTTTTTTATATCTCCTGCTTATTTGCTTTTCCTGCTTCTGTCCATAAGTTTTCTGACTGCAGGTGTAAATGATACAAGTATTTTCAAATTCAGTAGTGATCTAAAGTAGCACTTCCATGGAGCCTCCATCTGGGTACCCTAGGTTGAATACAGCCCATTTTGTATGAGGAATATATGTGGGATTGTGGTTCAACAGACGTTGTATTTCAGGCTTAATATGGGCTACTTGCCAGCAGGCTGCAGTGGGAAAATACCAGATGTTAATAATCTAAAATTGCGAAAATGCCAAATTTGTAAAAAGGAGCCTAGGGTTTGGACAGATGAGAGATTAAAAATTAAAGTTGATCCTTATTGTAATAATGTTCTCAACCATAAATCTTCCAGTTTATTTTCTGTCCTCTACCAAACTCCTTCACAAATGTAATCTGACTTCATGTATTGCAGGCAGAAGCAACAAATTAACAGCCTACATCAGAAGATAAGGGAGAATGAAATAAGAGCTCAGCATGCCAGACTGAGCCATCTTGTGAATTGTGAAGAGTCTTTCATGACTAATTTACAGGTAGGATAGATATCTTTATTTTAGTAAAGTGCTGTGTTACATTTTAATTAAATGCTTCAGAAATACTCAATGGTATGTATGTTCAGATTTCACTGAGGGCCAAAAAGTAAAGTTACCACAATGATTCATTGCCTATAAAGTTGCATAATAGATGTACTTTGCATACATTTTAGAATGTCCTATTAGCATGAATGTTCCAAGTGACTGCAGAAATTTGGAGGCAGAAGGGGGGGAAGATGTTGCCAGACATTTTTCAATTAAGTACTTTCATAATAAATATATTAAGCTGAACTGTTCCAGTTGAATATATTTGAAACCTAAGGAAAGTGCATGTTGTGGAAGATGAGTTTAGGGGATTGTAGCAGAAGCTAGCTGGCAGTGCAGGCTGTAAAACAGGATGCAGGGAGAGGTTGGAGCTGAAAGAACTTCAGCACTTTGAATGAATAAATGTGATATGGGAAGCCTGGAGGAGGTATCATAGCAGTGAAAATGTGGCATCCTGGCATGCGCAGGTCTCTCCAGGTTCCTAGACAGGTACTCTGGTTGCTAACCTGGGCTGAAGCCTGTGATGTCGTGCCTTTGTTACAGTTCATATCTGTGCTAGCTGGATTAAACCCAAGTACAAGTAGACCTATATGTAGGTTTTGACCTTTGCACTGAAGACTTAGCCATAGATGTAACAGAAAAAGAGGCAAAATAGAAATTCTAAAGGCAAGTATATGAAGAAATTATTCTCCTGTGCTGTCCCTTTGCTATCACCTTAAATTTCTTGTCATTTAACATTTTAACCAGATCCTTAGCTCAAGTCCCTCAGCATAAGTCCCTCTATCAGCGGAGTCCAACATCCAGCCAATGGTACCATTCAGCCCGGGTAGCTAGTGCAAGCTGGGGAGTGGGGCTAGGGTCAGGGCCTGCTATAGAATTTGGGGCCCCAGGATTTCAATGGATATGGCAGTGGGTAGGGTTTGGGGGAGCAGTGGCTGTGT